TTATACTTATCTACATATATCTACATAAATATAGTTATCTGTTTAAGATACTAAATTTTAAATGAATGTTATTATACTATACATTTCTTCTCTCTCAGTGTTTGTCCATTTTGTTTTCTTCATGTAAATCCAGTTAGTTCATTTTGATCGCTGTACAGTACAAATAAAGCAGCTTACATAATTTTCCTCCTAAGGAGTGACTGGGTCGTCTCTACATTGCCACTATTTGTATGCACCTGTAACACGTCTCCTAACACACACATGCTGAGAATCTGGGTAGGTCTGGTATCTTAGGAGAAGTGGAATTGTGGGGTTACAGTACTACGAATCACCAAATTGCTCTCCAAAGTGTCCCCGAACTAAGTTTTCATTATATTGCGCTTAGAAATGCAGATGACTGATCTTACGGTTTTAAAACAAGCAAACAAAAAAGAATCAAACCTTTGCCTTCTGCAGAACTATATTAACATATGAGGATTAAAATACATGGTATGCTAGTGAATTTTTTTAGAAACACCTTCTATCAAGTAATTTTTGTTCCAAGAAGAGAAACTGTACTCCTTATGTCCAATAAAGGCAGTGTCAATAAATAAATAAGCAAACATATTTGTGGACCATGACTGAATGTCAAATCAAACAATCAGTTATCAAACCATTTTGAAACTGTTAGAGAAATTTATATATGGATTATGTTTTAGATGATATTAAGAAAATATTAAGCTTGTAAAAGGGATAAAAGCATCGTGGTTATTTTTTAAAGTCCTTTTTTAAAAAATGTATAAAAAGATGAAATCTTATATCTGCACTGAATACTTTAGCAAAAACTGAGGAGTGATAGATGAATCAAGTGTGGCAAAATCTTGACAAAAGTTGGCTATATGGGTCTCATTATACTATTTTTCTACTTTTGCTTATGTTTGAAAATTGTCATCATCATCATCGTCACCATCAGGCAGATAGACTAATAAAAGTAGGTAGACATTTGGCTGTGATAAAGAAAATCTCAACCTATAATCCTTCCATATCCCATAACTGGATTATTTTTCTCTCTGCAAGTAGTCAGACACGTTCTAGGATTTTATGAGCAAGATAACCCCATTAAATGCATTATAATCCATATCCTTGAGGACAGCAGACACTGATTTATATTCAGAGAACTTACACCAAGACAATAGTACGAAATCAACTTAGCTGATTTAAACAGACTATCAAAAACGGCCCGCCCAAGACAAAATGAGTATAGAACATGACACTCCTCAAATTTCTGTTACAACGTATTATCCCACATTTTCTGTGAAGTTCAGAGATCTGCTTTCCCTGGTGGTGCAGTGGTTGAGAGTCCGCCTGCCGATGCAGGGGACACGGGTTCGTGCCCCGGTCCGGGAGGATCCCACATGCCCCGGAGCGGCTTTGCCCGTGAGCCATGGCCGCTGAGCCTGCACGTCCGGAGCCTATGCTCCGCAACTGGAGAGGCCACAACAGTGAGAGGCCCACGTACCGCAAAAAAAAAAAAAAAAAAAGAATCCCAAATGTAAAAGTAGAGAGAAACGTTAGACAGCCTGAATTCTCTCTGGACAGGTACAATATCAAAGGCTTCACCGTAGCATTTTGTCCTTTGTGTGTGTTTGAGGGGAGGAAAAGGTAGAGGGGGCTGAGGGCAAGAGATGCTGAGCAGAAGAGAAACTTCGCCCAGGGGCTTAATTAATGGTGGGCCAGGTGACCCCAAATCCTTGCTGGGACAGGGCAACGTGGAGGACCTGAGGAAGCAAGTGCATTTCCCACTGCCAACAATGCCGAGTCAGGCCAGCAACACACCCCAGGGAAAAACACCGGAAGGACTGAGCCACGGCCTCTACTTATCTGTATTGTTTAGGACTCACTCCCCAGGCAAGGGCACCTTCAGGCCTTAACTCCTGCCTGTCGACATTTAGTCGCTAATTACTGTGATGTCCTAGCATCATAATGCAATTACAGTGGCATTAATCCTGAGTCATGAAAATGACATAATTAATTACACTCATTTCAATCACAATTAAAATTACTGACTCATTCAAGTCTGACAGCATAAGTTCTGGAAATCAGGTACCCAAAGAGCGAGACTGGTGGCTTCTTAGAGTCAAACGGTCCCTTGAACTAGTTACAGCAGAGTAAAATGAAACCTGGTAAAATCTCCATCAGACCACAAGCCAGGGTCTGAGAAGATGCATTTGTTCTATGGCTAGAGTGGTAAAAGTGCAGTTGATGCAAAGCAAAAGACCCAATACCCTTCTCTCTTCTTGTTTTACCTTCTAGCACATCAGTTCTCAGGGAACAAAAACTAGGGTAGAGGGTAACTCTGTACTCTCCACTGAAGTTGAATGCTTACCTATAACACAGTTACTTGAAGAGAGGAGAAAATTTATATTCACCACTGTATTAACAATGAGGAAAAGTCCTTAAACCCAGAAGAGGAAGGTACAATGATAGAGCTTCTTAAAGAGCTTTTACTCATGATCATATCTGAAGCTCAATAAGCTGGACAGTGTTTTAACAGAAGACATGGTAGAGTACAGCCAAGGACAGTAAAGAAGTATTTAAGCACAAAGATAATAATTCCCGAGGTTCAGCTTTCAGTTGGCTTATTCAATAAAAGCACAGAAAAAGTACAATACAAGAGGGGTTTAACTGGAGAGGGAGATTTGAAAACTGTTTCCAGAAACGTGCTTCACCAAGTAAAAGAGCAGCAAAAGGAATTTTCTGGTGCAGAAAATAAACATAACTCTTGTCCCTCTTTAGCTAATCTCTCCCTCTCAATTCCCTAAACCTATCATCAGCACTGTATCATTCAGACATCTCAAAATTGCACCCACACCCCTGGGACCCGTGGCCTGCCAGTGACCCTTGCCTAAACTTTGGCTGTCTCAACAATGACTTGTGCTCGGTTGGCTGCGGTACAGAGACACGATGCTCTGAGGGCAGGCGACTGCACCAGCCAGGCACACAAGGTGCTCAGTGTTTCATCACCCTCTGCCTCTGTCTAGGACTGTGATAGTACCTCTCGGCTGACTCTAAACACCAGAAGGTACAGGTGTTTAGAGTCAGCTGAGCCTGACTCTCAACAGGGCACACACCCTGCCACAGGGCAACTCAAGCAGGATGTAAGTCGGGATGGGAGTAGAGGTGCATACCATGTACAGTTGAGGTATTAATACAGATGAAAGCAGCACATAGCAGAGCCTAAATGAGATCTCACCTCATCCTTTGCTTATGCCACTATTTCAGCATTTATCACAGTGGCCTATCAGATGCCTGTCTCCCCACAGGAGCCATGTCTTAATCATCTTGGGATCCCCTGTCAACCAAACAGGTAGCAAATGCTCAGTAACTGCAATAGTCAATTCCCAACTGCACAGGCTAAAAGGGAGAGCAGCCACTCTGAATGAAATATGATAAATTCTGTAGGCATTAGCCACACTCTAAACCATTATTATATATATTTTCTTCTCCTACTCACTTCCGCTCTTTCCT